TTTTGAAGGAGGGAGGGGTGATTGATATGCTGGCCTTCTGCCCTGTTATATTACTGGATGTTGTGTTTTTAACTTTCATCCAGCCACTTTTTTTAAAAAAAAATTCTGCTCCCTGATGTTTGTTCCTTAAATTTTTAAACCAACATCTTAATGTCATTACATATTCGATATCATCTATGGAAAAGACAGAATATAAATAATCTTTTTTCAAAAAATACCACAAAAGGCAACATAATATTGTTTAATAAGAAACACTGTAAGTTTTACGCCCATTAAAATATGACCCATCAGTTAAGAACATGACTTTTTTTCCTTTGATGGTAAAATTTGCTACTAACAAGAAGACTAACTACTTTATCAGTATTAAAAAGAAAGATATAAGCAGATGTGTAGATGTAATTATTTAGAATCGCAGAGACTAAGCAGTGATGGCGAACCTATGGCACGCATGCCACAGCTGGCATGCGAAGCCCTTTCTTCTGGCACTCGACAAACCTTTTGAGGTGGCTACAGCTGGGATTCCCCCTTTGTCTTCCTGTTCTGGGTCCTTCAACTTCCTGTCCATCCCCATGATTCCCCCTTTAACTTCCTATCCATCCCCATGTTTCCCCCTGAAACTGCCATTTCCAGTTCCGGTTCTAGTCTTCCAGGTGGCACGGCAGCCACTAGTTTCTTCCCCACACCTTCATTTTGGGCACTCGAGCCGAAAAAGGTTTGCCTCCACTGGACTAGAGGCTTCTGACAACCATGCCATTGTTTTTCATTACTCCATGAAGTATACCAGTTGCAAAAATCAATTAAATGAATATGCATTTGGAAATGTAGTAAGAAGTTCATACATCATGTTTATATGGATCTAGGATATAAATGGATGCTTTGCAACATTAGGTGAATAGCAGAATCGCCTCAAAACACTTTTTTCCAGGACTGTTGTAGTTTATTCACATTAGGTTAATTTCAGGAAGGAACAGTTTGTTATATATTAATATTACATGATAACTAATTGATTAAGTAGCGGGAAAGCTTTTCATACACACTGCCATTTAAAGTATAAGGGGAAAATAAGTGCTAAAGGAACATCTGTCCAACCCAGTTCTCATACTAGTAGCTTTTCACACTCCATTATTGGAGTAGACAAAGGGAGGTTCTTGAAAAGAGGAGCATTTTTTTCATAGAGTTTTCCTTAATGCCTGTCTATATAAGGTTTCAGATGGCTGAAATTTTCTTATGTTTTAAATAGTTTTATTTTTAAGAAATAATTTAACAAATTTTAGTATTTAGATTATTTAAATTGCTTTTATTAGACTTCACTGAGTTTTTGTGACAATGTGCGGGATATGAATATTCTAAATAAATAATACTGCCTCAGCTAGCTGCCCCCTCACACCAGTTCCCACCAGTTCCTCTGTACTTTCAAATCCTAGAAACTTTCTCCCTTTAGGGGAAGGGTCATAAAAGAGTGGTAAATACATACAGAGCTTAGGAAAGCTACTTTTTTGGACAGGATCTTTCAGGCAGCAGGGCTACTAGATGCACTGGCCAGGGAATTCTGGGAGCTACTGTCAAAGTTCTGCTTTTCTTTCAGTCTCTGCCTGGAAACCACTATCTGAAAATAACTTGTCCAAGCTACTAGTACATGCTTTGCATGCAAATCCCTGTTTAATCCTTGTAACCTCCAGGCAAGGCTGGTAAATATTCCCGTGAAACTCTGGAGAGCAGCTGCCAGTCAGATTTGGCATCACAGAGCTAAACAGACCAAAGGATCACCTTAGCATAAAGCAGTTTGCTGTGTTATTGTTTGAGACTACAGTACATTCTTTATCTTCCTTCCCCACCTCCCCATATAATTCATCACAAGCAACATGAAAGGAGATGACACAGCCAGTGGACTCCAGTACCCTACTGGGCATTCACACTGGCAGAAGTATAACTGTATGAATTTGGGTTGGCAAATTGATGCTAATTAACAACTTACTAGTTACACTCTTGCTTATGAGCCACATTGCACAACTGGCACTTAAACAAAAATGCATGTGACAACTCATTAACTGCCACAGTTCACACAATTGCACTTATGTCTGCTTAAATCTCTAACACAAATGAGAATTCAGATCTATAAATTCTAAAAATAACTATACACTGCCTTCCACACAACTTCTTTGAGGAAATCTCATATTTAAAAGATATGTGTTTTTCCATTAATGCAACAATTTTGTTGCCTGAATCCTCTGGGAATGCCTGACTCAATTTACTCTTTGCCCTTCAGGCAGGTCTGGCTTAGTGATGGTTTGGCTTCTTGCTCTTAGTTAATGGCACAATAATGATGGCAGAGGCTTGACAGCAGAATGCAATTGTTCTGAAGGTGGCTTAAGGGGAAAAAAATTCCATCTCCATTCCATCAGGAGAACTGGGTTTAGAGACACCAGAGGTGAGTTCTAAGCATTCATATTTGCAATTAACAACTGATTACAATCAACCATTGATCAAGGGGCACTCTGCCAATCTGGACTTGCTATTACTTGGTAAGCTGGCTGCACCAGTGTCTGGAAATAATAAATTGCAGGCAATGACAATAAAGGTAACACACAAAATTACCTCTACATCATTATATTTTTACAAACAACTCATAATAAAGTTATATTTTAAAAGTAATATAAGAAATGGGAACAATATTGTGGGGTCTTGGCATGATGAAATGATATGTTTTTTAATTAATTACAAAAACTATTTCAAAGCTCTTTTAAAGCATTCAGGTTTTATGTGCTACTTTTAGCAATCCCAAATGTGTGTTTTTAAGCAACAAAAGGCAATGGGCAAATTTCTCACTTTTTAAAAATGCAACAAAAACGGTAACAAATTATTGGGGGGCAAAGGTGCTTGCAACAATTAACGTAACAGATTACTTTAAAAATGTATATATGTAACATACTTCAATGTAGTAAGGATGCTGTTTCCACAGCACGTCTGATCAGAAGCCAATGGGTAGTAAAGTTCTCCTCATGAATGACCAAGGATACAGAAATGCACACAGTGAGTTATTTTATTATATATTCTACCACACATTGTCCATGATGTTGCAAAATAATCACTATAATATAGCTAAACAGGACAAGAGACAGAATTAATCTATCATATTGCTGTCATCTGTACAGGTTCTCTCAACCAACATACCAAGAAGTGGCACATACATTGTGATAAGTTATCACCTAATCAATAGCCATTATCATTTATCCTACAAACAATCCAGAAATTGAGCACTTCATTTACTTATGGTGGTTGGTGTGGGTATGGCAAATGGGCAGGATTGATTGTGCAGTGTTTGTCCTGAAATTGTTAATCTCACTTCTGGCAGGTAGCCAATCCTGTGGGAAACACCCCAAAATTGACAATATCCACATGGCTGAAGTTGTGATGCTATTGATGAATCCATGGAAAGGGAACTCCCAATGCAGGGCTGTAAAAAACAGAGGGCACCATAAGTACTGGCTAAAAGCCCAACTGCCTTTTGGAGAACAGAAAGCCTACCTGTTTGCAATAGAAGCACTGCCAATTTCCCTTTTCACTGCAGCCTTTCTGTCTCAAAAGTGCCTGAACAACATTGCAGGACAGTCTATCATGGGAAAGACAGCCATAAAAAGCAACATCACAGGTATCAAACTCTGTACATGGACCTTTAGGTCCTGTCTACTGCATTTTAAAAAAATATTAAATTCTGAAAATCTAGATTCTTTCTCCTCTTTTCCACACTAATACCAAAACCTGACATCTCAGCAACTAAATCCCAGGATGCATCACAATGTAGACCAGCTTGTGGCAAAATGTAATTAAGGTAGCATCAGACCGAGAGAACTATTAACTTTGTTAATAGCTCCAAATCTTTCTCATAAATTTATCATAATTATTAAAGTAAATGTTGTTTGTACAGCTGTGCTTTCTACTAAACTAGTAGTAGATGGAAGCAGTGAAATTGCCCCGCAGAACAGTGTGATAATTAAACAATCTTCATCCCACCACTGGATAGATAACTTATTTGTACAGAATTGCATACCTTTCTGGAAAATCCTGTTTGATCTTTAAAGCCAATAAATCTATATGTAAGTGTGACTACTTGGTTAAAATGACTAAATGCTTTTGCTTACATGTTGGTAGCATCAAAATGGAAAAGAAAATTTAAAGGCCAATGGTGATATACCTATTGCCCAGACAGAGCTCAGCCAGTGAAATGTTTTCACACACACACACACACACACACAAACACACACACACACCCCACACCCTGAAAACACAGCTTCTTGCAGAAAAATATCATACAGCTCAAAGGAGGGAAAATACATTTTTGTTTTGCATTTGTGCATTGATTCTGACACTACCAATAAAGAGAGAGAAATTAACACAGAGATCACACTGAAGAAATCCCCCCAAGAGGGTTCTAAGTGCTGCATCACTCTGTCAAATGTGGTGTATTTAATACAAACAATGTGTGAACCTTTTGAATCAGTTATATTCTCTGTGTCAGAACTGGACTGATAATAAAGTTACATAGTCATGATGTGTTGTATGTAGATTGTTAACAATATTATTGATTAAAAGACATTTCTTACCATCAGGGATATGTTGAACTCGCACAGGATGTTTTAAATAATCATGGAATCATGGACAAGGTTTAGAGATGTAAAAATCAAAGGTTTTTCTTTTATAGAGCTGTTCTGTCTGGAATTGCTACAAGACAGCTGTCATTGGGCTTGATTGCATTTCTTCACAGAACAGACCTTCTGGAACTGATTCACACAGCAACACATAATTGTTCTTGTTCTAGACAATTACAAGGGTTTTTTTTTTTCAAAATAGTTCAGCATAATGAACTGTGCTGTTATTAGGTTAAAACACATACATACACCCTAACATACTAAACAAAGCTTCATGTTTAAGTTTGGTTTCTTCAAAAGAAGAGAAGTGTGAGCTAGGTTACTTTCACTATGTGCCATCTCTTCATTCCCAGTACCCCCCTAATGAAATCACAGTACAGTATGTTATATTAAGATGAAAGGAGGAGGAACATTATGTTCTGAACATCTGGACAGATACAGCTTAACATGCTAACACTCTTTCTAGGCTTGATCAGAAATTGAATAAAGCAAGTACTATACAAGCCATTAAACAGATTTAGTATTTCTAATAATTCCTTCTCTCTCTCTCTCTCTCTCTCTCTCTCTCTCTCTCTTTCTCTCTCACTCACTCACACACACACACACACACCCTGCAAGAAACAAGAGACCCAGTCATGGGAACATACATGTGACAGTTTTTCAAACTGTTGAATAAACACTTTTCTTCAGGTATCTCAATCTTTCCCATTACACTCGTTTTGGCATATATTCAACGTAGGTTGAAATGTGCAGATTTGAAAAGTGTGAATAAACAAAAACAAGCTGAATCATAAGCTTATGTATTAATAAAACTGATCTTGAATTTCTTGCTATTAAATGTTACTTTCTCTTAAAGTGAGATTCAGCTCTGTCCTTCACATTTGTTCAAGATGACTGGGATGACTGGGAATGTAAATGCAAACACGGGATAAAACACAGGGCAGAGGGAATGTAAATGCAAACACGGGGTATAGAACACCTGATTTTAATATGACAGAGATGTGATTAGTATTTATTCCCCATTGCCTATTAAACCAGAATAGAATTATGCCTCCAGAAATGATTCCCCTCCCCCACTGTAACACTGAGCTTCAGTCTACTGAAGGAAACATATTGGATTTGTTTTACCCCTGTGACTGGAAGTTGTTTAATATACAATAAGCAGATATAAAGGACACTAGGCTGCACAAAAAAGTACAGGAAAAAAACTGGAGTCTAAAACAATACCACAGCAGCTACAAAATGATAGAGAAGAGCAATAATA